AAAAGACAGATGACAGTTGAACCACATGGTAACAGACTGGTAACAGGCTCAAAAACGCATATGATGACAGAAAATACTGGTAACTGGCTGAACAAGCTAGTTGCAGGCTTTAATAGGCTGATGACCGGCAGAGGCACCCCAGGTTGTGAACACAGTCAGAAGAGAATGAGAATAAAGTGAGTACAGCGTGAGCACGGAAAGGCAATCAGTGTAAACAATCCCTCTAGCAAACCTTATGCATGGAAGGGGACGAGACAATCTGGCAGAGACTGACGGAGAGATGCAGATATTAATAGACATGGTCACTGCTGGGATGAATGAGGACAATAAGGACAGGAAGGTGCAGCTAGCCAGCCTTCGTATGCAAAATATATTCAACTATTCACTTCAGTTAAATAAATAGAAATAGATGGATTTCATTCAGCTGGCATTTTATTTCATCTTTGCAAAGATAAAACAAGACATCATACTGCCCTGAGTGCTTGGTATTCAGCCCTGTTCTGATCTAAATAGAGTTTGTCTTCCTTACTTACAATCTTCATAGGAGATTATAGATTTTTCCCTCCACTCCACCAGAAGCTGCATGACACCTTAAAGATGTTCTCTAATGGGACTTCCAGCAGGTTTGTCTAGTTACCTCACACCAAACTCACCCATCCATGGATTTATAGAGCTCATGCAATGGATGGTGTCATCTCCAACAAATCCTACCCTGAGGTTTCACTGAACGTGCAAGTGCCGCAGTGTGGCTGCGATCAACCACGTTAGTGGGGCACATACGCGGTGCAGAAGCAACATGGCACTTACACATTCAGTGTAACCTAGGTGTAAGACTTTGTAAAAGTATATTTTTAGGTAGGAACACTTAGAAATTTAGGGACCAATTCAAACCCCCCAAAAACAAAAAAACACCACAACATGATACTCTCTATACTGTACTTTAAACCAAAGGTTCTCTTGACAATTTTGTACAATATCAAACATTTTTGACTGAAGAATTACCCAAGAACACTAAACCAGCTGTCAGACATACTGGTTCCAGTGGTGGGCCATAGAATGCCACACTCCATTAAACACACAGTGGGTGTAATAATTAGAAAGACGGTCCATCTTCAGATTTCCCCCCACAAATAAACAACCAAATGGTTGAAATGTGCACACCAGGGATCCCAGAAACTCACTAAAATTGGTTTACGGAATCAAATATGCTTTATTCTGGAAAGACTCTGACTCCGAGCTTGTTGAAAATCTATGAATAATGTATAAAAACAGGGTTTATACCAGGAGACCAACCCATTTAAATAAGTTCTTCCAAGTCTGCTAAAGGTGGTTGAAAATCCAGCAGGAAACTGTGCCAGAAGCTTATTGATGGCTCCACAGCATGCTGAGGTGGATGTAACTGAACTCTTTGTGTATTTTATTATCTGTGAACATGACTGCATGAATTGGTGCAACAACATGATGTACAGAAATAGAGCTATACCCCCCTCAAAGATGCTAGGATGTAAAGCAACTGTCTCTGTCCTCATGTGATGTTTGGCTGCTGAGCAGCTGGATGCTCTGTGACTTATCCACTCTGCAAACTGTTAGTAATTCACGCGATTACTCTAATCCAAGTCTGAGTCACGCCATTACTCATAACTAACATGAATCTCCTATGCTCATGCACATCATGGAATACAAACCAGAGAGAGTGCCAGGATGTCTATGCAGACTGACACTGCTATTGTTTTTTTTTTTTCTATTTGCAGAAGTGGAAGCCAAAAGGTCCAGCTCTTCAGCACATGGTGAGCGGCCTCTGCCTCGACAGCCAGAGCACGAACGGTCCTCTGGTCATCACGCAGTGTCGCCCGCAGATGGCCGGCCAATCATGGGAGCCACAAGTTATCGCCTGAGGAGGGTTCTGGAAAAGGACACTGGGTGGAGTTCTGAGTTCTTGCTGAGGGACGGAAGAAATAAAACACTACTTTTTCCCCATGTCAACCTCTGGCTGCTCATTTTAAGGCCTTGTTGAGACAAACCACATGAGGTCTTCTGTGTACAGTGCTTCATCCTACGATGATGCGGTGAATCTTCTATGTATTCTAAGCTTTCCAATGAAAATGTTGCACTTTTCACTTCTTTGTTTCTGTTTCGGCTTCAGCCCATAATGCCCTTTCATTTGGAAGCGATCTGAGGAGTGCAAACATTTACTGTTAAGCTGCACCCAAACAAATCTTCGATTAAAGTCACTGCTTTTGTAAAGCGGCCTAGTTTTAGGGGGCGGGAATTACCATGAGGACCAAAGCGGCTCTGTACATATAGCCCAGAAAAGATTGGAGCTTCCTTTTCTTTTCTTTTTCTTTTGGCTGATTGGCAAAATCTTTGTCATTATTTATTGTTTCGCACAGTGACTTTCAAAACTGTTTCATTCCTCCTTCTGGTTCCGTCTCTATAAACTGTTATGTAAATATCCGAAGCCGGTTACTGTTTTTTGTGTAATCTATTTGTCGTTTTAAAATAACGTGGTTACAAAGACATTAGCATTGAACACATTTGTAAAATAAAGTTAATGGCTGCATATAATATTGATACAATAACATCACAATTGTGTGTTGTTTTTATTTTTATTTTTTGCAAACAAAACACCTAACCTATGAATATTCTTTTATCCAAACCATCCTACTGGAAGATGAACTTACTTCCCAGTTCATGACTTTTTCCCCTTCATTGCAGGTGTTTTGTGTTCAGTTTTAGTCCAATCTGGTAGGAGCAAGTTCCTAAGGTGAATCAATAAAATAAGAGAATTATATAAAATAAAAAAAGAGATGAAAATTGAATGATGTTAGAATGAAAACGTAATCTTTGGTTGGCACAGTTAAATACCGCTTTAAATCTGGCTTTAATCCTGATAGAAAGCACCTTAGGGTTTTTAGTGCTTTTATGTATTTCCGGGAGTTGATTCTAAAAAATAAAAAAGTGCCAATTCTGACTTTAATCTCAAAATTAAGATTACTTAGGACTCTGACACCAAAACCCAGGATTATCATTTAGATCAAGAATATTACAAGTAGTCATAATTCTATGAGAATAGAGACAGGATTCTAAGATTAACCTCAGAATTATGAGATTAAAGTCAGAAATTATTGGCCTTTTTTGATAAGAGGCCTTTTGTTTTTTTTATTAGCCTCTTCTGTATATTCCAGATCATTGGAGCATAAGAACTAAAAGCTGTTTGGTAAGTAGATTTGATCCAGAAGACCTCTGGTCTGGGTGCTTGATCCAATGACAAGAAATCTGTAATAATTTTGTGTTGTAATAATTCAGAGATTTTTTTAGATGAAGTAAATTAATAGAAGTATTTCAAAGTCTAATCTCTGAGCTACAGGGAGCCAGTGGAAGGACTTCAGAACTGAACCGAATGTGCTCTACTTTCTTAGTTTTAGTGAGAACGAACGCAGTAGCATGCTTGATCAGCTACAGCTGTCTGATCCACTTTTTTCCTGCTGAGACATTAGTCCTTTAATCATGGAGATATTCTTTAGATGATACACTGTAAAAAAAAAAAAAAAAAAGTTGTTAGAACTCCAAATGTTAAGGCAACCTTCAACATTTTTTTAAGTTAAGGACTTAAAAATTAGCTTTTAGGTTTGCCAAACTTTCTACATTATTGTGACTTGAAATGCTGATTTTTTTCCCCAAAACTTATGTGAAAGCAGTGGTGACTTAGAGAAGGTAATGAATAAACTATCCATCACACTACTAACTTAGGAATCATACTTTTCTATTAGAGGATCAGGAGAGTCACTGAAAAAGAAAACTTAGTTATTTATCATCAGATTTATGAACTGTGCTTTTTAAATCTCCATTTAGACATAAGATTTGAAAATAGATTTTGAAAATGCAGTTTTAATAAGGGATTAATAAATACAATTCACATTTTCTCTTTAATAATTGAGTTTAGTATGAGTTACGCTTTTAAAACTGGATTACTTATTCTATTATTTAAATGTTAAATTCGCAATGGCTGTTAGAGGAGAAATGTGTCGTGTAGATTTTTATCTAAACTCTTTTGTTTTAGGAACAGTAAGTCTGAGTTTCAAACCTTCAACCATTAGTCACATTGTGGCAGTTCCAACTGATTACTGTCATGTTGACCCAAATGCAGAATCACATGGAGAACCAGTGGGATTTAGCATTTTATTTACCAAAATAATCAAGAATCTGGAAGCATAGAACTGCAAGGAGTCAGTTGAGCTTTCATCTTGGTCTGAAGGGAGAAGCAGACTCATCAGGAACTTAATTGATGACAACTGATGACTGATTGTTTTGCTTATTTGAGAGATGAAGGAGAGTTAGCATTGATCTGTAGGGGTTTGACTCAGCAGGCTTTGGGGACTGTACCCCAGAGGTCAAGGAGAATGTGAGTGAGACCCGAGAGCGATGGTACTGACATCGTGCTGAAGAGCAGCAGACAGGTGATAAAGACTGAGAACTGCAGATCGGAGATTAACTGAGGTTCACTGGTTGTCTGGAAGAATAACAAGAGTCCACATTAAGGGGATTCACAAGAAGACACATTTCAACAATAAAGCTTTTGCTTCTGTTGGGTCTTTGGCTGGAATACCATCAGAGGTTATCATTAAGCAAAGAGATCCTTCGCCTCCTTATTTACACGCTAGTCATCTTGATTGAGAAATGCTCACACTGAGCCTGGTTATGCTGGAGATTTCTTCCTGTTGAAAGGGAGTTTTTCCTCTCCATTGTCACTACAAGCATGCTTGGTGTGAGGCATTGTTTTTGAGTCAATGAGTCAATGCAATCAGTTGGTTTTCTTTATACAGAAAACTGAATCAATTTGACTTTATGATCTGGTTGAATTGTCTCTGTAAAGTTTCTTGAGATGAAATGTTGTGAATTGGCGCTATGTAAATAAACTGAATTGAATAGATAACAGGTGGACTCCTTTGATATGAGAGCTTCTAAATGTGAATGGTTTTATTAATGGATGACAGAGTAAAAGAGGATCCCTTTATGATAGAGTTTTATTGCTACCAGTTTTATAAGCTTCCTTCTACTTCACTGTTGTGTTTTCACAACAATAAAACCCAGTGATGCTTATTACAGTAAACAAAACAGACATTGTCATCCAGACATTGTTTTAGCTGCCTTATTCCTGGTAATGCAGAATTACCTGGAAGGAGCCTGAGGCAACATCTGGGACTTGCGTGACTCAACTTTCATATGAGGTATAATTGTTATGTTCTTATTTTTGATTAGAGAGAAGTCAGAACCTGATTCTACAGAAATAAGAAGTTAAGTATGGGGTGAATTTTGTTCCTTTATTGTTAAATGCAAAGAACACATTTTGTAAATGTAAATTTACACAAAAAAAAAAAAAATATTCTGTAAAATAAAAGCTGAAAGAAAATGCAGTTCAGAAATGAAACTTTGAAAAACGTTTTTGCAGATTGTATTTCAATGCTGTTTTTTACATTTCTCATATTTTGCTTCCAAATTATATATAAAAAAATGTTGCTTTTCTATTTTCTATTCTCCAAATTTCTCATTTTTATAAGCTTTATGATTTGCACTTATTTGCAAACTGCATTTTACAGGTCACATTCTCTTCACTTTCATCCCAATGCCAAAACTCGCTCTTAAATAAAAATATTGTTGCTAACGTCCAGCAAGCCAATAGAATTGCATCATCGCTCCAGAAGAAAAACTCCGCTCGGAAGACAGTATGAGCTGAAAAAAAGCTATTTGAAAACAATGAAATATGTAAACACTCAAATCAGAAAAACTGATTTTTGAAAAAGAAAATGTGAAAATCTAAAATCTCTAAAACAAAAATCAGTTTATTAATTTCGTTTAAAAAAAAGTTTTCAATTTTTTATCTGAGAAAATGGAAAAGTAACTCAAGGTAAATTTCTGGATTACTTTTTTTTTTTTTTTTTTTTTTTTCAAATTACAAAATGTGTTCTTGCAACAATAATGGGAAAAATTTCACTCCATAAAAGAACTACCCCAAAAAGGTCTAGCAGTTTTAATTGCAGGTAGATATGTTTCAACTAAAGATTCAGGAAACAAGAATAAATAAAATAAAAGAAGCAAACATAGAAGTATTTTTGCAAAACATTGCAGGTCAGAGGTGAAACCTCATCTTAAGAATCCATATTTGGCCATTTTAGACAAACTGTGACAGCTGCTCATGGAATCCTTGAAATTCATTTCTCCATCTACATATATCTTTCCTTTAAAAAGATACTTCAGCCTTTTGTTTTATTTTTAGACAACATGACTCAGAATGTCGGTCATGAGAACATTAATAGTTTTAACAAAGACCCCAACAATATGTCAGGAATTTACCCTCCAGGTCCCTCCAGTATTCTCGCTCTGACTCTGACCGGAACAATGGACTTCCCTGGACACTCAGCACTCAGAAGCCATCATAGCAAAGATTAGTGTAAATGAGGCACCTTAATTTCTGCTATGTGTGCTCTTGAAATAAAGTGATTAATCAAATTGAGTAATCGCTTAATCCCAAAGAATGTTAAATATAGTTATTTTATTTAGCTTTTGCCATGTGAACCTACCCCTAACATTGTCAGCTAAAGTTCTCAGGGTTTTCATTAGGCCAGCACGTCCAATGCCCATCCATTATATTGCATCACATTTTTTTATATCTTTATTAAAGAACATTTTACTTTTGCATTAATATTCCAGTAAAGAGACATTATTCTATTAGTGGTTTCCTTCAAATATTTTGATTAAGATAATTTGATGCATTTTTACTGGCCTAAAACAGCTTCCGTCAGTTCTTCTGTGACTTACCAATGTTGACCACTAGAGGGCGGAATATTCTAACTAACAAAATAAATGAAACGGAGTTACATTTTTTAAAAGTTTTAAAAGCTTTCTTTAAAAGTTAAAAGCCTTTTTGGGCTTTATATTTACATTTGTTTGTATTTTCAAAGTTAAAAAAATATATTAGCGATTATCAAAATAAAAAAAATTAAAAGAAATTGAGATGGTGTACTTTTCTGACAGCAAGAGGAAATATTAACTATTAAAGCTGTTTGACTAACACATTTGCAAGGCAGTGATCAACATAACCAGCTTGACTAGTTTGTTACCTTGGTTTGTATGTGTGAGTGCGTGTGTGTGTCCTTTGTTCGCTTGGTAACCTTTGCAGCCAGAAAATATGCTTCACTGCAGCTTTGTAGAATTCCAGAACTATGCAAGGAATGCTGATAAACTTGTGGGCTTTTGGAGGGGCCAGTGTGTCATCATCAGGGTTGGAGGAGGGTGGGGGTGGAGGCAGACAGGGATGAAGTACAGGAAAATGAACGTCAAAAAAGGAAGTTTCATTGGAAAATAGTTCATTAAACTTGATTCATTTCAATTTTGAAGGAGGTTCAAAAATGTGCTCCTTTATAAAGGAGGATGAGCTTAAAAACAACCTCACATGTTGCTTAGGGAACAAAACAAATATCATATAGACAGTGATTACATATTGAAGCTTAGTATATTCACAACTCTTCTTTGCTTTATACTGCTTTATATTACTTCCCTCCCCCTGCATTTAAGAGGAAAGG